TTTCCCGTTGTTACCGAGCAGGACGAGCAGGACGTGGAAAGAGACCAATCAAAGCACGAGAGAGAGAGAGAGAGAGAGAGAAAAGAGCTCCTAGGAAGCTAAAATTACATCTTCTTTGAAGCAAAGCTAAAGAAGTTAGCACTGTGTGGGGAAAAAAACACATGTAACCTTGAACACTCATCATCAACTGATGCATCGATCTTTCTGTAATCTAGGGGCGAGATTACCCGGTGGAAATGTCCTGTCCGAGGATGAACAGGATGGTAGAGGTGGTACTTCAGACGACGAGATGATGTCTGATTCCGAGTCATCCATCGCCTCGCTCACGGACAGAAAAAAATCTTTTGAGCAGACGATGGACGAAGAGGTGGTCGTTCTGGCTGAAGCTGTTTGGGATCACGTAGCTATGGAACCGGAGGAATTAGCCTTTCGGGCTGGTGACCTCATCGATGTGCTTGATATGGTTGACAAGGATTGGTGGTGGGGTAGCTGTGAAGGAGAACGTGGCTGGTTTCCTGCTGCTTTCGTTAGGGTAGGTTTACATTTTTCTTTTAATCATTTTTATAATAATCATAGATTCATTACAATGAAAGAAAAAGCTAGGTCATTGTATTAATATTATTAAATGTATTAGTATCAAACGTACAAATGTTGAAATTTTCTGTTCCAATTCTGTATTCAATTGTAACTAATGTGAATATACTGGAGATGTTCGATACATAAACTATTGATAGATTCAGTGTTACAATACTTCGATGTTCTAAAACGTTATTTGTTCAGTGACATATCAATTACAGTTGCGGGTAAGTCAAGAAGACACCGTCGAAGATTGTTTAGCCGCGATAGCCTCTGGAGGTACATCGAACTCTCAAAGAAGGCGTACAAGCGTGTCATTGCTATCGAATGAACAAGTTAGGACAAGCGTAGTTCGTGAATTGGTCCAAACTGAGAGAGACTTCGTGAAGATTTTAAGGGACGTTACCGAAGGATATATAGCAGAATGTCGAAGACGTACAGATATGTTCAACGAGGAACAAATAGAAACGATCTTTATCAATATCGAAGAGCTGTTAGACTTTCAATCAGAATTTTTGAAGGATTTGGAATCTCGTATTGATTGGAATTCACCGTACAAGAGTTGTGTTGGCGAGTGTTTCCTCAAACACGTGAGTAAGCAGAGTGACACATTTGATTTCCTTGTCCTCTTATCTTCTTCGAACTACTTCGGTAAAATCAAGAAATGTCTATCAAGAGATTAAACTTAAACGTTTCCATGTTCATTTTCTTTTCAGAGAGCAGGCTTTCGAATGTATTCCGAATATTGCAACAGCCATCCAATGGCAACCGCCACACTGCAGGAACTTTATCAGCACAATCGTTATAGCAAGTTTTTCGAAGCTTGTAGACTAATGCGTGGTCTGATAGAGATACCTTTGGATGGATACTTGCTTACGCCGGTCCAACGGATATGCAAGTATCCCCTGCAGTTGGCGGAGTTGTTAAAGTACACGAAAGCGGATCATCCAGATTATCATAAAATTCAAGAAGCATTGGAAGCTATGCGAGGCGTTGCTGTATTGATTAACGAAAGGAAAAGACGAATGGAAAGTTTAGAGAAGTTGGCTGCTTGGCAACTTAGGGTCGAAGGATGGGAAGTACGTTTGATTCGATGACAGTTATCATTTTTATATTTTTTCTTAACTTATTATTATTTCGATGTTTTATTATGTATGTGTGTGTGTGATCTTTAGGGCGAAGATCTCATAGAAGTTTCTTCTCAACTGATTTATCAAGGTGACGCTATGCGAGTAACCACTGGTATGTGGACGAACAACATCACTCTTTTCCTCTTCGATCATCAGCTCGTCTATTGTAAGAAAGATATTTTAAAACGTAACACTTACGTTTACAAGGGTCGTATTTATCTCGATACGAGCGAAGTCATCGACGTGCCGGACGGAAAAGGTAGATTTTATTATAATATCTTTTCGAGAGAGAGTTTTACTTTTTTCGTTTCTATTTTAAATAAATGATCAGTATTTATAATAAAATATCACGTATATATCCTGTATCAATTTATATTCTTGATGTGCAATCTTGCCTTTATTATAAACGCTGACAAATTATTATTTATATTGAATAATAATTTTCTATAAATTTTGATCGAATAAGTATAGAAATATATCTTTTTAGTCAGGCAAATTTTCTAATGTCTCTGATAAATGATAATATTCTCACAGACCATCAGTTGGGTGTGACGGTTAGGCATTGTTTGAAAGTATATAGCTGCGTAAGAGACAAATGGCTATTGTTCTGTTGTCGTACGGCCGAAGAGAAACATCGTTGGTTGGTAGCAATGGCTGAGGAACGACGACTGGTAGCACAAGATAGGAACGATGGACTGGAATTTCCAGCTGCTGCTCGGCAACTCGCCAGATTAGCGGCAAACAGACAACGAATCAGGCCACCCGTAAAACCTCGGAGTATGCAAACTGTTTTTTTTTATATGTAAAAATGTTGATCGTTACGAAAGAAAGAAAGGAAAACTAGATGAATCTTGAATTTAAACTGTTCTTTTAGGCAAATCATATAAGAGAGAGCCAACGTACGACGTATCAAACGTAGTAGCACAAGGCGCAACCAATTCATTGGGCCGTAAAGTCGGTATCTGGTTTACGTTCGGTAGCAGCAAGAAAAATGCACGACCTCAACCGTCCTGAGACAGGCCCACCTTCGTTCCGTACATCGATTTATAAAAAAAAAAAAACTTCAACGAGAAGCGCTTTTATTTATAATCCTTCATCCACGATCGAACTTGAAATTTTAAGTCGATCTTTTGAAGTTATTGGCATTATTTCAGCGCTCATCGAATGTACGGTACGAAGGTATGTCAAATATTCTCTACGATTCGTTGTGCTGTACTAAAAAAAAAGTATATATATATATATATAAATATAAATGCATATACAAAAGAAAATCAAAGTACAGCCGCGATATAAAATAAAGAAGAACTAGCTCGTATATAAATAACATCTTTGTAGTGAAATTGATTGACTGTTGTTCTTCATCAAACTATTATTCTACGATTCCGAAGAAAGAAAGAAAAATAATTATAATGACAGCAAATCTATAACGTCAATGATCTTTTCGTTCACTGCCTCGCTGAACAAGAACGTATTTCGACAAACACCACCGCTCTAACTATTTGCTCTTTAAACTATTCCTTCCGGTGAAACGCACTTTGCTTAAAAACAAACAAAAAATTAGTAATAAAAATAATTAAAAAGTCCGATATATAGATACATATATATATATATATACATATATATATATATATATATATATATATATATATATATATATATATCTTAAGTGTACATTAAAGTTCTTAATCGAACCAAAGTTAATAAACGTGAAAGATTCTTCTAATTGGACGTGTAGAATCGCTTGGAAGACTAGTTAGGAATTATATATTATTGCCAGAGGAGAACTGTAATAAGCTAGAAGAATAAGATCACTTATAGTGATAGTTAGTAAATGTATAAAAAAAAAAAGAAAATAATAATAATCAAATAGTATGCTTTTAAAATACTAAACGGGAAAGTACTAGTCACTTGTATCTGCAAACTAATAACGACAATGATCAATATTAATCTTATTAATACGGAAGGAATGGCTTTGATTACATACGAGATGCATATAGAGTGTGAACGTCGAGAAATGTTTTTTTTTATTATGACGAATGAAAGACTGATACGAATATGATATGCGCTTGTATAAGTGGAAATAATTATTGCGGGACGTGGTTAAAGGTCTTTCGTAGATGACATCTCTCAAACGGGCTCCTTTGTAACTCTTATTACTGCCTCGTTAAATGTAGAATGTTATTCCATGTGAACTATGTAATAATAATACTCATGGTAGTTTCAAATGACGATTGAACGAACACTTTTGAAAAAGGCCCATAATTATGTTTCCGTGTCAGATAAAAATGAGACACTTTGACTTTATTGGTGAAAACTTTGGAATATGACGCCAATAATAACAACAACAAAAATATATATATATATATATATATATATGGGTATGTAAATATAGTACGCATATCAAAGCCCTCGTGTTACACGAAGACCGTCTAAAGAATCTGCACATTTTTTCTACTCTTGTACAGAACGCAAGGATTCGTAATAGAAATCGGTTGAACGGTAAAGAACTTTGAGATCAAAAGTCTTAATAATTGAAATTCTTCAACTTGACAAGTTCGAAATATAAAGAATATAAAGATTAAATAAATAAATAAATACAAAAACATATAAAGATTTGCTCTCACCGATCGAAAGTTCTCAACACTGCCAATATGTTTAAAGAAATGTCTTTGTTCGATCAATTTCTACACATATTTGCTTTAATAAGTCAAAAAATAAAATTACACACTGAGGGAAAAAAGAAAAATATTATCGTTAAGCTTAGCACGTATATTTTGTTTAATTCTTCTTTTTTATGGTTCTACTTTGGTTTAATAATGCACAATTATAAAAAAAAAAGAATATTTACACACAAAGGAGAAGAAAAAGAATAAACTGAATATATGTATAAGTTTTCCGCTCGGTTTCTGGCATTGCATCTACTATATGACAAAGACAATATAATCGTAGATCAGGAGAGTAAGATTCCTACTAACTAAGCTGTATAGAAAAATTGTTAGTACGTTGAAGCTTAGATTAGAAAAATACATTTGTTGCTGGACTTATATATAACTCTTTTCAGAGTTATTTTTATAGGACAAATTTATTGATTTCAATGTGATTTCTTTGTGTATACTATTGCACAAGGACAAACTCTAAATATGGTCAATTTATTTTTTAAATATCTCGTGTCTCGCTCTTTCTTCCTTTCTCTCTCTCTCTCTCTCTCTCTTTCTATCTTTCTTTCTTTCACTTTCTCTCTCTCTTTCTTTCTCTTTCTTGTGAATAAAAGAATTTAGAGGAGACGATAATATTAAATTATATATTTATTCTTTACTGACATAACACTTATATTAAACTTATATATGCTTAACGAGATAAGAAAAGAAATACTATCAGATGTACATTGTTGATTTCGAAGATTAATATTTATTTTTAATTTCATCTTAAATAAACGATAAAAAAAGGTTGAAAAAAATCTCAAAAATATTTAGAGACACATAACTATAAATATCATTCCTTTTCTTGTACTACTATTGGAGGCCTCTTGCCATAACTGCTTAGACCCAATAGAGAGTACAAGATATTAATGCAAATATATCTAAAACAGCTACATACAAAAAAAAAAGTAAAATAATGTGCTTTGAAGCAATAATAATAATAGAAATTACATATACACATACGTACATATATACATATATAAATATATATACATATATATTTTCCCCTAAATTTGATAATGATAAAACTGTATGTGCATATTTAAGGATAAAAAAAATATAAAGCTCATTTTGTTATTATCGACATACTTAGATATATATTATGGCAATGAACTAAAAAACATAATACTGAACATGTTGCTCTGTTGAATGTACATAAATAGATGTATTTTACAATTGTAAATACTGTAGACCTACCAGTTAACTTCAATGCATTTTAGAATAAAAACAATAAAAAAGTAACTTTCAAGTTAAAAACATATATCATATGTAACATTTGAACAAAGTTACTTATTGATTATGGCGCAATGTTTTTGTATATTTGTACATCTGATTTAATGATTTAATAATAAATTTTCAACTTTTTTAATCTATCGTTCGCGTTATATGAAGTTATTGTTTATAGTATGTATGTACAGTTGAATTTATAACTATATAATTGCGATTTATATCGTTTATCAGATACAAGTATTGTTTAGTTAAATACATGTAAATAAACATTTTATAATTAACTACAGTTATGTTTTATTGTGCTAAGTTACATTACGTCCTTTCGATTTACTGTAAAAATATATAGAACACGTTGGTAAGCATTGAAAACAAAATAATATACCGAATATCATAAAATCTAATAAATAATTAATTGCTTAATATATAATGGATATAACTAGATAATTGTGGTTATAATTGGTAATATTCTTTCCTCAATTGCGTCATAACTTGTCTGTGGTTATGAGAGTTTTCTCTTCCCTCCGACAACTTCGTATTTTTTTCCAAATATCTAACATAATTCCCTTGTATCTCAAAATTAAGATTCTGCTATGTATTCACAGACTTGCATTAAAATATTACCTTTGCTCTATTAACAAAAATATTTCAAAAAAAGATCTACAATGGTAAAAATATATAGTACAACAATATATGGAAATGTCTTACTTGTAATTCAGAATTAACTATCATATCTCCTTTGTTAATGCCATTTCCAACTTCTGCCAAAACCATTTTGACATTTTCATGACAAATTGTACATATATAATTTCGTCTGTACTAAAAAATATAATCAAAGTTATAAATTTCTTTGAATCAGTTTTTTCAAATAAACAGAAATGTACTGAATAATCTTAAATTCATAAAATAATTTCATTTCAACGCTTTCAATTGTTTACAACATTTAGCAACTATAACGATAATCAAATAAATATTCCATTTCACGTAAAGTAAAAATTTCAAACGTGTATTATTGATATAACAAACAGAATGATCAAAAATAATAAGACTCTCTGTTATCTTACAAAGAAAAATGTAATATGTAACTTACCATTTTTCTATTTGAGCAAAATAATGTACAATTTCCATCGCTGCCTATAACTATTAATCACTGTCCCAAATTGTTTTTTACTCAATTATTTAAATTCATAGCTACACTTTATTTTAAATTTACATGCAGCATCTTTTCACGAGCGACACGACGGAATAATGCAGAAGTAACAAATCGACCAATACACTTCATACAAAAAAATAAAAATAATTTCGTTGAAATATCGCGTTAAGAAATATTTAATTTATCTTTAATGAACAAAATATTAATATCATTTAAAATCACTTACTATATTCTATCCTTTCTTCCATTTTCTTTCGATTATAAAATCAAGAAGAAAATTGAAGTACAATTACTGTCGAACAAAAATCTCTTTACTAACTTTTCAATAATCTATAATATATTTTGCATTTATAATAATAATTTTATATGCGCCATATTGAAAAGTCTCAATGAAGTTGCATAAGAATTATTACATTTCTGTCCCTTTTTCTTACATTTTTCACAGCTATCTCTCTCGAAAATTTTTAATGAAAATTCTTGAAATTGAAATTATTATATATGTCATATATTTTATATAAGTTCATTCACTAAACTTAAGCAATGGAAAATTGTATGAAACATTGCGATATATCGTTTAGTATCATCAATTTTAAATTCATTTAAATTAAATTAATTAATTAGCTTAGCTTCATATATTCGCATAACTTTTATTAATAGAAATTTAGTATTTTCGCGCGTTGCCATACGTATTTACAACTATTTGAAATTTTAGAAAAAACATCCGATGTTATGGATGCTATTAAATGTTATGCCGAAGCTAGTGTATATGCGAGAGCATTAGAATTGACTCATAAAGTTGATTCAACCTCTGTAGTTACTTCAGAAAAAGAATGGGGAATGCATTTAGCCGCAAATGGTCATTACGATGCTGCAATAAATCATTTTATCGTAGCCGAAGAAATTGTTCAATACCAATATAATTGGTATTACTAGATAACTGTGATTTTAATTGGTAATTTTCTTTTTTCAATTGTGTCATAACTTGTCTGAGATTTTTTGCTTCTTCTGACAACTTTGTATTTTCTTCCAAATGTCTAATATAATTTTCTCGTATCTTTCTTAATTCCGTTATGTAGTCGCAGGCTTGCATTAAAATATTACCTTTGCTCTATCAACAAAAATATTTCAAAAAAGATCTATAATGGTCAAAATAGATAGTATAACAATATATGAAAATATCTTACTTGTAATTCAGAATTAACTTTCATATCTCCTTCGTTAATGCCATTTCCATTTACATTATCTGGTATAAGTTCTCCTAATTTAAAGATCCAATTGTTAATTTTGTCTCTTCTACGCTTCTCTACTTCGTTATGTGTCGCTCTCCTCTTTTCGTCTCTCTAGAGAAAAATTTTACAAAAATTTTCAATACCATTTGTTGACTGAGATTATATAAGGAAACAGCATAAAGTAACAGTTATTACCAATGTCTTACCTTTTTAGCACCCAGAACAAGATTTTCAGATGCTTCTATTTGCACTTTGGCAACACAAGGCATTACATTTCTTGTAGAGTCTGAGGTAAGCATTTCATTTCCATTACTAAGCAGATATAACTGCCCATTTAATGGAGAAGTCAAAACTTGTACGGTATTATTTACAGGAGTTTCTATGGACAATTCACTATTCTCCAATTGATTATCGCTAACTTGTACTACACGATAAGCCACAGTACTTTCATCTCTATTTATCTGACATAATTGATACTGAACATTGTCATCCTCTGATTTAATTTCTATATTACCATCCATATCTATTATTTCAGCTTCTGTCAAAACCATTTTGACATTATCATGACAAATAGTAGTTTCATCTGTACTAAAAAAAAAAATCAAATTTATGAATTTCTTTGAATCAATTTTTCAAATAAACAGAGATATATAATGGATAACCTTAAATTCATAAAATAATTTCATTTCAATTTTTTAATTTTTCTAAGCATGAAGCAACTATAACGATAATCAAATAAATATTCCATTTCACGTAAAGTAAAAAGTTCAAACGTGCATTATTGATATAACAAACAGAATGATCAAAAATAATAAGACTTTCTGTTATCTTACAAAGAAAGATGTGATACGTAACTTACCATTCTTCTATTTGAGCAAAATGATGTACAATTTCCATCGTCGCTTAAAACTATTAATCACTGTGTTTCTAATTATTTTTTAGTCAATTATTTTAAAAAATTCATAGTTATAATTTATTTTAAATTTACACGCAGCATCTTTTCACGAGCGACACGACGGAATAATGCAGAAGTAACAAATCGACCAATGCACTTCATATAAAAAATAAAGATAATTCTATTGAGATCACGTTAAAATATAAATATATAATTTATCTTTAATGTACAAAATATTAATATCATTTAAAATCACTTACTATATTCTATTCTTTCTTCCATTTTCTTTCGATTATAAAATCAAGAAAAAAATTGATGTACAATTACTGTCGAACAAAAATCTCTTTAATAAATTTTCAATAATCTACAATATACTTTGCATTTATAATAATAATTTTATATGCGCTATTTTTAAAAGTCTCAATGAAATTACAGAAGAATTATTAAATTGTAAACTATATAAAATTGTATAAAGCGTTACGATATATTGTTTGGTATCAATGTAAAATCATTTAAATTAAATTAATTAATTAACATAATTTCATTTTTTCGCATAACTTTTATTAATAGAGATATTGTATTTTCTTTGTTATACGTATTTAGAACTGTTTGTATGAGAATGTTGCTAAGCAACCGTACATATACAGTCGATGGCTTTAACTCATCGTCTTTTTGTAATATAGGAATAACGTGGCTTTTTAAAGTGAAGTTTACTTTAACGATAAGTTATGTTACTTAAATATTTAGGTACAATTGTACCGTCACAAGTAGGTTATCTCAGATGTGTATTTTATTATTATTTATAAAATGAAAATATATGATAACATGCATTTATGTCTTTTCTATTTATAGGATTGTGAAAATAGAGTTATTAGCATAGTTTGGTCACCTAATAATCAAAAGCTTGCTGTCGCTTCTACTGATCGTTCAATCTATTTATTTGATGAAAATGGTATCATGAAAGATAGATTTTCTACCAAACCTATGGAACCAAAGGCATATATATTATTTATTATTAATAATATATATTAATTATTTCTTACATCGGTTTAAAATGTTTTTAAGAAAATGTATAAATAATTTTTATTTCAGTTTGGTAAGAAGAGTTATCTCGTTAAGGGTATTGCATTTTCTCCAGATTCGATAAAAATAGCTGTAGGTCAGACCGATTGTATGATTTATGTTTATAAAATTGGTGAAGAATGGTAATCAAAAATTTGTTATATGTTTTACATATTATCTTTATTAGATGTCACACTACAAACATATGTGTCACTTATAAAAATGTTTCATAGGGGTGAAAAAAAAGTTATATGCAATAAATTCAAACAAAATTCAGCAGTCACTTGCTTAGTCTGGCCTACAGAAGGGCCAATTATAGCTGGTCTTGTAGATGGCAAGGTCCGTGCTGCATTCATAAAAACTCATAAAGTACAAACCTTGTATACGGCAAATGCTATGACAATTGCATTGGCTACAAAGTAACACATTTGATTATATAAATAGTACAGTAAAATAAATAATACAATATTCTAATTACTTTAATCTTTTTTTTAAGTATTAGGGGAACTGGTTTTCTATCAAGTCATGCAGACGGTAGTATTATAAGATATTATGTGGCAGATGATGGAAATATTGAACCTTCAGGGCGTGTATGCACTCACAATGTACCAGCTTATGCTTTAGCCTGGTCTCAAGCTCATATTATGGCAGCAGGTTGTGATAAGAAAATAACATTTTACGAATCTCATGGAAAACTTGTTAAAACTTTTGACTATAGCAAAGATAGTAGCGAAAAAGAAATGACTGTTGCATGCTGCAGTCCTAGTGGACAAAGTATTACAATCGGTTCATGGAACAGAATAAGAATATTTGATTGGACTCCTCGTCGAGCAATTTGGGAAGAAGCGAAGATTAAAGAATTGCCTAATTTCTATACAGTAACAGCATTGGCATGGCGCAAAGATGGTTCCAGATTAATTATTGGTGGATTGTGTGGTACTGTTGAACAATTTGAAACTATATTAAGACGTACTCTTGTTAGAGGAAGTCACGAGGTAGCATATGTTGGTCCTAGTCAAGTTATTGTTCGTCCATTAAATGGTACTAGTCAACCAGTTGTAATTAGATCACGTACTGGAAATGAAATAGAAGACGTAAAGGTGTTAGGTCGAAAAGACAATAATATTGTAGCACGCACATCAACAACATTATTAATTACCGATATCGAACAAAATCTTATTAGCGAAATACCTTGGGAAGATACAAGCAATAATGAAAAATTCTTTTTCGAATATCCTGGAGTTTGTTTGATATTTTGTGCTGGTGAATTAATGGTTGTTGAATATGGTAAAAATGAAATACTTGGATCTGTGAGAACTGAAGCAATAAATCCACATGTTGTTAGTATAAGAATTAATGAAAGACATGTGCCTGGTACGGTAGACAATAAAAGATTAGCATATCTCTTAGATCCGCGAACAGTACGTATAATTGATTTCATAACGGGTGTTACTATCAGCATGATAACACATGATGTACGAGTCGATTGGTTGGAATTAAGCGAAACAGGACATAGACTTTTGTCACGAGATAAAAGAGGAAGATTATGGTTGAGTGATGATCAAGGAGGTAAAACTTTGTTATTAACGGGAGTTGGTTTTGTATCTTGGGTACCTGGAAGCGACGTTGTTGTAGCACAAACAGGTCAAACATTAGCAGTATGGTATAACGTGGATGCTCCAGAAGCAGCAACTCTTATACCTATTCGTGGTGATGCCGTAGATATCGTTAGAGAAAATAATCAAACCTCTGTGATAGTCGAAGAAATGGGTAATGGAGTATCTTATCTACTCGATGAAGGGCTGATTGAGTTTGGTACAGCATTACATGATAATGATTTTGGAAGAGTTGTCTTGTTTTTAGAAGAATTAGGTGATACCCCGCAAGCTGAAGCTATGTGGGAAAATGTAGCAAGAAATGCAATGGCTGCTAGAGAATTATCAATCGCATCACGATGTTATGCTGCTCTTGGAGATGTAGCTTGTTCGAAATTTCTTCAAGAAATAGTCAATGTTGGGGAAAAATATCAAATAGAGACGGGTAATGATTCATTGACAAGTCCAGATTGTTGGGCTATGCTGGCAATACTGAATGGAGAATTGAAAACTGCAGAAGTTATTTATTTAGAACAAAATGAATTAGATAAAGCTTTAGATATGTATCAGAAATATTGGCATTGGGAAGATGCATTAAATTTGGCACAAAGTCGTGGTTGGTCTGGTTTAACAGAGCTTAGAGATCGTCATTTAGGATGGTTACTTGAAAATGGACAAACAGCCAAAGCAGCAGCTATAATGGAAACAGATAATCCAAAACGTGCAATAAAACTTTATTTGGAATCTCGTAGACCAGGACGTGCAGCTAGACTATTACTAGTTAATAATGAATTACTAGAAGATACAGATATTATTAATGAAGTAGTACGAGCCTTAAAGGCAACTGATTTGATGGAGTTAGCAGGAGAAATTTTAGAAAAGACATCCGATGCTATAGATGCTATTAAATGTTATGCTGAAGCTGGTGTATATGCGAGAGCATTAGAATTGGCTCGTAAAATCGATCCAACTTCTGTAGTTATTTTAGAAAAAGAATGGGGAAAGCATTTAGTTGCAAATGGTCATTACGATGCTGCGATAAATCATTTTATCGAAGCCGGAGAAACTGCTCTTGCTTTAAATGCAGCCATTGATGCTCGACAATGGAGAAAAGCATTACAAATAATGCAAGTAATCGAAGACGATGATCCACAAATACAAAAGCAATGTGAAAAGCTTGGCGAGTATTTTGAATCGATAGGAGATAAAAATTTAGCAGAAAATTTATTTTTACGAGCACTAAATCCTAAAAGAGCCATTGATACTCATATCCAATCTGGTAATTGGAATCGTGCACATGAAGTAGCCACAGAATATATGAATAAAGAAGAAGCTAATGAAGTTCTTGTAAAACATGCAGAGACTTTAGAACAAACTGGTGATTTGCGGCATGCTGAAACACTCTATGTTGCAATTGGAGAATATGATTCTGCAATAGCAATGTATAGAAAGGCTGGTCAACGTAATGACATGATAAGATTAGTTGCAAAATATAGACCAGAATTACTTCAAACTACTCATGCCCATTTAGCACGTGAATTGGATGCTGCTGGGAAACCTCGGGAAGCAGAAGAGCACTTTTTGGGAGCTAATGATTGGCGAGGTGCTGTAGCATCTTATAGATCAACAAATATGTGGGAAGATGCTTTACGTGTTGCAAAACAAGCTTCTGGTGAAAAGGCTGCTCAACAGGTAAAAATATATAAGATAGTATTAATTGCATATATATTACTAATATCGCCATTTCATAGGTGGCATTAATGTGGGCACGTACATTGGTACCAGAATTAGGTGCTAGATTATTAATGCGTTTAACATACTTTGAAGCTTGTCTTCAAATAGCATGCGAAGCTGGTCTATTCGATTGGGCTTTGGAAATAGCAAAATATGGTACATCGGATCAAAAGAAAGAAGTTCATTATAGAAAAGCCATGGCATTAGAAGATGAAGGAAGATTTTCAGAGGCAGAAAAAGAATTTATTCAAGCTGGAAGAGCCATGGAAGCTGTACAAATGTATATACATACTCGAGATTGGGAAGCTGCTGAAGACGTAGCACAGTCTCATATTCCAAACGCATTAAATCAAGTTCTTGTTGCAAGAGCTACAGAAGCAGCAGAAACACAGGATTACAGTCTTGCAGAATCTCTTCTTTTGAGAGCGCATAAGCCAGAAATAATAGTAGATCATTATAAGGTAATAAAATCTTCTAATAAAAGCTCACTCTTTCTATTAAAAATCATCTTAATATATTACACCTTTTTGATTGATTATATAGAAAGCTGGTATGTGGTCAGAAGCATTAAGAGTATGTAGAGAATATTTACCAAGTCAAGAGGCTGCACTTCGTAGAGAATTAGGACAAAAAAGTGCAGGTATCGACGGATTGAACGCCTTAGAAGAAGCTCAGAAGTGGTTAGAAGTTGGAGAAATACGTGCTGCATTGGATATTCTTATCCTAGAACCACAAGCGTCGAAAACTTCTTTAACTCGAGCAGCTGATATTCTTCTTCATCAAGCTGATCCAGAAATAGCTATAGAAATTGGTGGAGATTTAGGGGCACGATTATTTGATATTGGTGAACATGCTCTTTCTGCTCAGGTAAACTTTTATCTTAATATGCAAAGTGATATATACGTAAATCAATTCACATTAACAATTATTTATTCCTTTATTGATTAGAATAATCGTTATTTGAGGTTATGTTGCTTTTTTAGTAATTAATAACTTTTAACAAGTTCTTCCAGAATTGGATATAAAATAAATAAATAAAATAATTCAAATGTGTTACCTTTAATAATTTAACATTTGTAAATTATACTTGTTTTTATATTAATATGCATTCTTGTTAAACTGACTTATTTATGAGTCAGCTTTTTATATAATGATAATAATAATAATATACGAGTTAAATTTATAAAATATGTAAATACAGTCAATTTTTTTATGAACACAGGTATTTTTACAAGCTGATAGGATTAGAGATGCTATAAACGCTTTAGCGGCTGTAAACGAATGGGAAAGAGCACGACGAATTGTCAGAGAACTTGCCCCAGAATTAGAACCATATTTGGAAGGAAAGTACAAGGATGCTATTATAAGAGACGGAGAAATCGACAAATTGGTAGAAGTTGATACTGGAGCTGCTTTAGAAATTTTAGCACAAAAAGGTCAATGGGATCAAGTATTTGAAGCAGCGAGTATGCAAAGTCCCGAACTATTACACAAATATGTCGCACAACGTGCGGCCCATTTACTAAAATCTCATTCACCAATCCAAGCTCTTCGACTTTACATGCAACACGGTGCATTACCAATTCCCCAATACTTCAACCTTTATCTCAAATTATCAGAAACAATTCTCAATTCTGATGAAACTTATAACGAGTATAAATATTTGTCACAATTACGAAGCGTCTTGTATGAATTATGTAAAAGTTTAGATTTATCTACTGCTAGTGGTTTGAAATTTCGTAAATATCTTGAAGCAGCCCATTATTCAGCAGTTAGATGCGGATGCCATGAATTTTCAGGATTAACCGGAATAATAACAAAGACCTCTATTACTCTTATCCGTTATTCAGACATTTTGTTACCCGATCGTTGTTACTATAACGCTGGTATCGATGCACGATCTAGCGGACTAACGAGCGAAGCTTTCATATTCTTAAATCATTTTCTTGATCTTGAGGAATGCATCGAAGAAGGAGACAGTAATATTCTCGATGTAGATGATCTCAGAGTAACTGATTTTCCCTTGGAAGTACCTTTACCAGCTACTTTAAGTATGACTAAGGAACAACGGGAAGAAGCTAAAGAATGGGTTTTAGCTATTTCTATGGATCAAAAAGTAGAACAAGGTTTGCCGATTGATCAACGTGGCGTTTATATTGGTTCTTTGACTAGTTCAATAAGTAATTCAATACCTTTACAAGAATGTACGTTAACGGGATATCCGATTCGTGGCCCGGTGATTAAATTCGAAAAAAGTAACCGTGTAACCGATCGTGATGATTGGACTAAATTAGTTAATGTTGCTCGACAAACATCATCCGATTCTCCATTGAACGATATTATTGTATTTATACAAGATTGGTGTGGTGCCGTTCCAACTTATTCGTTTTAAAAAATGTACATATTTTAAATAAATGTTAATATACATACCTGTGCGTTTAATGTAAATGTATTTTATTTTACTGAATATTATTTAATAAACTATATTAAACTTTTCCACAGATCGAATAACACCTACATTAAATGAAATTATTATTCTTATGAAATATAATCAAATTATTCCTTAGAGTTCGAAACGTGTGGTGGCCCTGAAAAGGGCCGTATAAAGGTAGGGAAGTCTATGAAATATCGATTAAGCTTTTTTCTCAGTCTTCTTCGGTAATAGAACAGCTTGAATGTTTGGTAGAACACCACCTTGAGCGATAGTCACACCAGATAATAATTTGTTCAATTCCTCGTCATTGCGAATAGCCAATTGTAAATGTCTTGGAATGATTCTGGTCTTCTTGTTGTCACGAGCTGCATTACCAGCCAATTCCAAAACTTCAGCAGCAAGATATTCCATAACTGCAGCCAAATAAACTGGTGCTCCAGCTCCAACACGTTCAGCGTAATTTCCTTTCCTCAATAGCCGATGAATACGACCAACGGGGAATTGAAGTCCAGCTCGATTAGAACGGGACTTTGCCTTTCCCTTAACTTTGCCGCCTTTTCCACGTCCGGACATCTTCGAACTTATCAAAATAAACTGAATGAACCGTAAAACTCAAGAGTTGACGATAGTCTGGCTCAGACTGGTTAGACGCTCGCTTATATACGATTCCAGCGCTCTGTCGGCGGACCAATAGGAACGCTAGAAGGGGCGCTGGCCGAATACTGCTCTGTGATTAGTTAGCCGTGTGAGCAGCTGCCGCGTATATAATGAAGCGCCTAACCGACGAGAATCATTCTGGATTCAGACTTCTTATACGATCAGACTACTGACTAAGAGAAAGTGAATCAAGATGCCGCCTAAAGCAAGTGGAAAAGCTGTGAAGAAAGCTGGGAAAGCACAAAAGAACATCGCTAAAACTGACAAGAAGAAGAAGAGGAAGAGGAAGGAAAGTTACGCTATTTACATTTACAAAGTCTTGAAACAAGTTCATCCTGATACTGGAATTTCTAGCAAAGCCATGAGCATCATGAACAGTTTTGTTAATGATGTTTTTGAACGTATTGCTGCTGAAGCTTCCCGGCTAGCTCATTACAACAAACGATCAACTATAACATCTCGGGAAATTCAAACTGCAGTTCGCCTGTTACTTCCAGGTGAACTCGCAAAACACGCTGTAAGTGAAGGCACCAAAGCGGTAACTAAATACACCAGTTCTAAGTAAATCGACGTATGAAGACGACTTCGAACGGCCCTTTTTAGGGCCACAAACCATTTATTTACGTTGGGCACATAATTCTCTTCATATAATTTATTATACAATATAATATTTAACTTGTTTTCCACCAAAATAAATTTGTTTCAATAATTCATTATTAAAAAGTATGAAGTACCATACTAAAGTTACAAATACGATTAAGATATTCGAAAAAAATTTATTTAAAATAATTATTTAAGCATCCTTTAGATAAGATAAGAAAGAAAATAACCTTCGTATATCTTAATTCGTGTAGATAAAAAATTTTTAATGAAGTTTTGATCGTTAAAATTTTACTTTACGAATTTAAACCATATAATTAGCCAAGTAGTACTTGCATTCTATGGGAGAGTGCAGCACTTTGCAAACATGATAATACGTATTTCGAAGTAAATTAAATATTAGTTCGGGAATTTCTATTATAGCTTCGATAAAGAATTCACATACATGCATATTTCATGTATATCCTGTATATATTTAAAGAAAAATTATAAAATAATCATTAAACATTACTTTTGTATAAATCGAACTATTAATCATTATTTCTGTAAAATAAAAACGGTCATTAAAATAGGCTACAAATACACAACCACGAAAAAGTGTTGTATGATCTAAAAATCAAATACTTTCAAATTAGGCTTCGTTTTTCAGGTTTAGATTCATCCTATATTTATATTACTTTCTCATAGCGTATAAGAATTCTATATATAGAACTAATAACATTGGTTGGGTAAACAGTTAACGATTAAAATTTACTTTGTCAGGTATATTTGAGGTATTTGAAAAATTCTTAAAATTTCAGCAGAATAATAAATAATAGCAAATAAATGACTCCGCCTATTTTATCTCAGAACAACTTAGAAAACTCTTAAACAACTAGAAAATTCGCAGAACATTTTCAATGCCTTACATAAATAAGTAATATATAATTACACACATAAGATGTTTTATAACTAGTGGTACGAGGAAGCAAACAAGAGATGATTCTTCTTAGAAAAACTATACAAGTCGACAATATAGAATTAAATCTATTCATATAGGGCTTCATTTTCGAGAAAAATAAGTTTGAAAATTTGTCATATAAGCTTTTCAGGTGCATTAAAAAAATCTTAAAAATAGCGTTAACATAACTTTTATCTAATAGTAAGATGTTCAGTAACTAAATGTAATTAAAATCGAATTGTTGTTTATTTTCTTGTATTTTTTTTTTCAAACTCTTACCAATTTAATTATTAAAATAATAAAGCGTATATCAATGCATACATTCAGTGCATATATAGATGCACATACTACACATCTATAGTCGTGATTATTTTCCTTTTAGCATATTCAGTATAAGTTATTGCTTATTTCTCTGTTTTTAATAATAAATAGTAATAATGTAATTAAAGTTATTTACTGCAATTTACGCATTAGACATGTATTTTTCAATTAAAATAGTAAAAGATCTCAATATGTAGTTCCAATCTTTGTGAATTCTTTTTGTTTGGTGCGTGGCTGTTATGGCATCCCCACCCAATTCTCACGACCAATCCGCGTTAAGTTCAACGAAATTCTACTGAAATCGAGGAATACTATCTATTGTATTAAATGTATGTATTATTAGATATGCATAAAATGTTACATTTTTTATTGCTTTATAAATCGTGATAAAAATTATTTAACGAAAATTTAATGAGAAAAAGAAAATGTAAATCTTTATCGTTTCTTTTATTTTTGTTTAAATAACAAATATTTTTGACTTTGTATATAAAAGTCATTGCATGTGTACATATATAAACATATATATCTTTTTAAAAATATCTTTAGGAATAATATATATCAAATATATAATAAATATCTTTTCAAAAAGTTTCTACGAAAGAAAAAAAAGTGAGAAATATTAAAAATACTTAAGAGAAAATGGCGGAAGGAACAGTTTCAGAGACTTTAGGATAAAATAAAGAAGAACTAAACAGCGGACTTAAGATTCAGTGTGATGACTCTTCTGTACTTTGACTGTTCATAAATTTACTTTGCAAATTTCTTAGAATGACTATCTTAAAGACAAAGGGCATTGGCCACATCAATAACCAATGGTTTAAGATAAAAAAAAGATCAGGGTATGGGAGTATGACGATATCACGTGATAGACACATCGACAATTTTTTATAGTATGTGCATACAGTACCAAACAAAAGTATTATAGCACGGTCTACATTTTCTTCTGTCCTCTGTAAATCTATCAACAATATATATGTTTAATTCTTCGTAGAATCTTTTTGTAAAATGTAAAATATGGACGAAGCAATAAAAAAGTTAAGTTAAAAAAAAATAGATTTCTTTTTACTTTATTTATTTTATAATACATTAATACAGAAAAAAAATAAAGAGAAGGTTGTGTCTTCACTAAAGCAAAATACAAGCGAATTAATTCAAACAAACAAGCAAATTCAAATAAGTTCTTTCTCAAAGGACAGAATCAGTTTATTAAACCCTATTAACGAGTCCTTCAGTGGATCGGAGTAAAGCAAGCGTTTGCATAGCATCATCAATTCTAAATGGCAACAGTGCTTAAAGTGTGGTAAACGTAAAATTCTATAAGCGATGTTGCCACTTCTAGCAACAGAGTGCACTTTCTTCCAACAAGCTTCGAGAATTATCTGACAAAGAGTAGGCTATTTTATTGTTTAAGCCATAATACTCTTGGTTCTAGTTTATTTTAGTCATAGCCCCGGTCTTACGTTGTCTTTTGCGTACATAAAAGTCTTAGCAAAGGGCCGTCCAAAAGGATAGGAGGATATAGCTAGTCAAAGCTATGGAGTAACATCGAATAAACGAAGCACCGGTGAGAATCACCAAGCGTCGCCATATTGTTACTTTAATTTGTTCATATATCTCAGGGTTCTTCAATAAATATAACAAAAAGATGAGAATTTGTTCGATATCGTTGAAAAATTCAGTGGCCCTGAAAAGGGCCGTTTTTATCGGTTCTTTTAAAATGAAATGACCAAACTGCTGATTTATGCACTTCTGACAAATTAACCTCCAAAACCATAGAGTGTACGTCCTTGGCGTTTCAATGCATATACGACGTCCATAGCCGTAACTGTCTTTCTTTTAGCATGTTCGGTGTAAGTTACTGCATCACGAATGACGTTTTCTAAGAAGACTTTCAATACACCTCGAGTTTCTTCGTAAATCAATCCAGAGATACGTTTGACACCACCACGACGAGCCAAACGGCGAATCGCAGGCTTAGTAATACCTTGGATATTATCACGAAGAACCTTCCTGTGCCGCTTTGCACCTCCTTTTCCCAATCCCTTTCCACCCTTTCCGCGTCCAGTCATTTTATTTAGTTAGATAGAATTGCTCAGAGATAAGCTTCTGTAAATAAAATAAAATGTTAAATTAACTTATTCTAGTTAAATATTTACTACTAATTAACTCTTACTGAGGAAAAAGAAATCCATTACTTACACTTATTACTACTTAAATTAAAACGATTCAAATTGTTCGATTTTGATCAAATATGTTTAGTTTTGTTTTATAATTTGTTATTGTAACTTCATAATGTTTCTCTTATAAAAGTCCTGATATTCTTATTGGCGAAAAACTCGACTAAATATTAGGTGTTGGAATTAATTCATAGAGTTTTTTATTAAAAAATAACGATTTATTTGAAATGAAAATTACATTATTGAAAATACTGCCCATCACTTTTGCCACAACTTTTTCCCATCTTTCAGGTAGTAGAAATATACCCCGTCGAAAAAACTCTTTGTCCTTGAAGGCAATCCATGAATCGATCCAATTTTGGCAATCTTCGTAAGATGTTAAATTTTCCCCTGATAAATCATGAGCCATTGATCGAAACAGGTGGTAATTCGAAGGGCCAATATCTGGAGAATATGGCGGGTGGATTAAGACTTCCCATTTCAATGTTTCCAGATATGTTTTCACTGGTTTCGCCACGTGAGGTCGAGTATTATCAGCAGCAAAATAAATTTATCGTGCCTTTTGCTCCATTCCGGCCATTTTTCCTTCAATGCACGACTCAGACGCATCAATTGTAAACGATAGCGATCCCCAGTGATGGTTTCATTTGGTTTTACCAATTCATAATATATCACACCTTGTTCATTCCACATTCAATTCATTACCGCAAAATAAGCAACATTGTTTAAAACAAAAATCTAATTCACTTGCGCGTGCTCTAATATGAGGAGGACTTATATTAGATGTACTCGTTTCTTTTTGTTCGTGTTGTCTTAAACGGGAGCAATAGAACTCTTACGAGTCTAATTTTTATGACACTGCACATGAATAGTCACAGATTTTTGGTTTTTCAGGTATTCCGAAAATTGATCACCTCTTTCAGTACTTTTATCAAGTAATATATCTTCATGCCAGATCAACAGTAACAATATCACTTTCAGTTAAAAGTTTACTACAGATAAAACAAAATCGCGACATTTATATTGAATCGACCAATAAAAAAATTATAACATCAATTTTTTTAATACGAAATATCACTTTTCCAACGAGTACAAGTCTGAATTTGTTTGATCAATACTTTAAGAGATATATAACACTACAGCCATCTAGCGAAAAAGTAATGGATTTCTCTTTATTCCCAACCTAATATAAGCTACGTCTCCGAACAGGGTACTGAGTATTACTTACTGTGAACAGCGAAGACGTTGCTGGTATCGAAGCTGCAGTCGAAATGTGATGTTCAGCCGCTGAGACGGCTGGTTTTGTACGCTTGAGATTCCGATGCATCCCCTCCACAACTCTTAGAACCAATGGCGAGCGTTTAACAAATTCTCTATTCAAAGAGTAAAAATAAAATGAACAAGACTGATGATAAAAAGAATACCATGCGATATTATTGTAAGAACATAAAAGTAAACCATTTTTACTTTTTATTTTGTAATACATCATTTTTAAAAACTTGTTTTTCTGTTGTATAATACAGCTTCTAAAATCTACAATAGAGTTGTAAAACTCAAAATGCTTGGTTTTGACTTAATCTCTCGAGATTAAGATGACAAATTTAAGATATTATTTAGAGATTTGCGATTGAAGATCGCAATAACATGACAATTTGTTTATTATAAAATAAAAGTACAAAAGTTTGATACGAGTAACGTAAGAATACTGAGAGATGTCTTAGCGGAAGGAACGTTTTTGAGAGTTTCGAGACGAGATCAGAAAAAGAAAAACGAGCCAACATTAAATACTGTAGTTTGTTTTAAAAATTAGCTGCTTGGACATATGTAAATTAAATAATAATATTACGTAAAGAGGCTTAGATTAAATAAGGGCCAGGATATGACAGTATGAGATTGAAATTTGATCCGAAATATTCTTTGATTACGTTTCAATATCTGTATATAATTGCACTGTTGTAAATTCTGAGACAGAAAATATATACTTCTTCGTATTATGGCCCCTTCTGAGAAAAGAATACAACTCGAGATAGAGACTCTTTATTAATTTAAGGGACATCATTTTTTCTCGTTTAATTTAACGAAAGCTATGAAAATAAAATATACAGGAACAAACAGTTATTCATGGTTACCCATTCTTTTATATTTTTCTGTTATTTGAAAACAGATTTTTTGTTAGTTTCTGCTTTTAAAGTCTCAACAAGAAACAACTTTAATTTATATATATATATATATATAAAAGTGAATTTAATCGAAAACAAAATTATTTCTGTTAAATCTCAAAAACTATTTCATTGACCCACGTATATTTTATCTTTTTATTTCTTACAAATCCTCACGCAAAATGATTTCTCTTTATAATTTTCATTTTGTTTTTTTTTGTAAGCTGTTATATCATACTTCACGGTTAAAAATACACTCGTAAATAAAGAATTTTTATTGTATATTCTTTCAGAAGAGCATTAAATTAGTCATTCAGCCGATAATAATATTGTTTCATTATACGAAAAACCAAAAGAGTAATTTCATGTTTTGTAAATATTGTCTAGAAAATAATGATTCGTTTAAGAAAAAAAGGAATCACTCTCATTATTTGTTTAATGACGAGTATTCATCTATTCATATCGTTTGTTTTAAAATTGTATTATAAATATATATAGTTGTTAAATTTTTTATTGTATTTTATATTATATTATTACAATCACACACACACACACACACACAAATTACGAATGAAAATAACTTGGTCTTGTAATAAAAAGACCAATCACCAATAGGTGATACTCAAATGTATCTTTCAATAAATCAATTATTTACAAATTAAATTTAATTATTTAAAATTATATGGAATATTTGTTTTTCATAGACTTGCTGTGTAAATTAATAAAAAATATGATTGTCTATTTAGTTTTTTTCTTATCTTGGAGTTTAAAGTGTGATTATATTCTTAAGAGTCTTCAAAGGAATGAATATTCAATTAAAAAAAGACTAGTTTTTTAAAAAAAGATAAGCCTTGAAACGTTTACAAATTTTTTTGTTTTTCAACATAGATTTTGGCTTGCAATATTCATTTGAACACTAATTATAAATGGAATGATCGATCAAAAACTTGATTTTAATGTTTTCTCATTAAAATTCTGTAGTTATATTATTGAAGGCTTTTCTTCATTTAATTATTTAAATTAGTACTGAATAAATTATTATCTATATTATTAAATACTAGTTTGCTATAAGTAGATGAACAAAGGAGACAGTAAATTAAATAAATGAAGATTTTTTATTTAACATATTTTAATTAAAAATTTGTATTTACATATTTACAGACGTTGTAGAAAATAACACTTAATATTATTACTCTACTTGTACAATCACAGTCACTACAAACTATAAATTAAAACTATTAAGTATTGAATGCTTTAAAATATGAAATATATCTGCATAAAAAAATGAGAAAAAAGAGAGGAAGGGGTAAGAGAGGTATGTTGAGATATGCATGTAAATCGATATTCACTCCAATGACTTATAAAAAATGTTGTGGCCCTGAAAAGGGCCAATTTATAGGATTTTGGTGGAAATAATTATTTCTTGGCAACAGCCTTGGCAGTTGTCTTCTTCGGTTTAGGAGTTCTAGTTTTGGCAGCTGGTGCCTTAACAGTTTTCTTAGCTTTCGAGACAGTTTTAGGTGTAGCTGGTTTTTTCGCAACTTTCTTTTCGGGTGTAACAGCAGCAGCGGCTGCGGCAGCGGCAGCAGCAGCAGCGGTAGCAGATCTTGATGTTGCAACTTTTGATTTTTTCGGATCGGCTGCTTTCTTCACAGTTTCAGCCTTTTTAGCCGGTGCTTTGGTTTTCTTTGCAACAGCAGTAGCAGCAGTTTTGCGTGCGGCAGCAGTCTTCTTTTCTACAGATTTCTCAGCCACTTTCTTTTCCTTAATAACTCGTGGAGCTTTAGGTTTGGCAGGGCTCGCCTTAATGGTCGACAACTTGAATGATCCAGACGCACCCTTTCCTTTGGTCTGAACAACGGCTCCAGTCGAGACCGCATTTTTTAAATATTTCTTGATAAATGGTGTTACTTTTTCGCCATCAACCTTATACGTAGCTACAACGAATTTCTTGATGGCTTGTAACGACGAACCCTTACGATCCTTCAATTCTTTAATGGCGGCAGTCACCATTTCAGATGTCGGTGGATGAGTAGATTTTGGCCTTTGAGTCTTGGCTTTAGGCTTAGCCACTTTTTTCGGTGTTGCCGTAGTCGATTCAGTTGAATTCTCAACCGCTGTTCCAGAAGTATTGACTAAGTCCTCCATTTTAAGATATCTTAGATGGTCTTTCCTCTTCAGTTATATTAATTTATAACTCGTTAAGTCCTCTTCAGCTATTTTCGGCAAAGTACGACGTTGTATCTATCGGTATGATTCCGTTAAGTTGGGTATATCAAACTCTAACGCGTAAGGAATGACCGTCATTTTGTATCGTAGCGCGGACCATGAAGAGAGACTCTCTCGATATGGCGCACGAACGTCTCGATTAGAAAGATACGCAGACAATTCCGACATCGTAATTTCAAGCTTATTTTAAATGATACTAAATGTTCCCAACACTTGTTTTATATATCAATCGAAAGTTTAGTTTATGGGCTTTCATAATATCTACTTTTTATCCATTTTTCTATCCGATTTTGTTCATTATTTATAATATATTCCGAAGCATACACTTTTCAGATGATAGTTTAGTCGATAATATTGTTAAAATTTACTTTATTCTTTATTAAAATTATATGTTTTTTCATCTTAATAACATCATCATGGATTAATCTTTCCATACCGATCAATAATTATTCTCATATGGGTCTTATTGTTGTTGAAAATATCAAACAAATGCGACGTGTCAATACCATACGATTTACTTTTCGTCGTACACGTAGTCGTCAACACCGGTTAACACATTTTTGCACTAACGTATATTATCAATGTGATTAATATTTTTTATTTCATATTATTGTGTAAGATATGTTTGTGAAAAAACTTGACGATTAATTGGTCGATTAAGTCGAACAAACGTAGATTATCCAGGCGTACTTCCTACGAAATAAGAAGAAAATAAACGACTGAGTGAAGAATGGATTTTCATTTGTAAAAGAAAAAAAAAAACTGAAAATATATCGGATCAACTAATTAATTTAACAATTTTTATATTTTATTAAATTACAATGAATCCTTTTGTAATACGATCTCGATGTAAATTAATAGAATAAAATGTTCTTCCATAATACGGTATTCTTATAGCACGATTTTCCAAATACGACAAGTTAACAAATTTGGATTATTCTTGTCTAACACGAAGGCTTATTCATTCTATAGCGTTATTTTCTTATTTTATTTTTTAATTTGTTTTTTATTTAACACAATTTTGTTAAAATGTAGAACGAATTAATTGTGTTATAGGAGAATTAGAGTGTACATTGTTATTATTTGTTAGGAATACACGTATGAATGCCATATATGTAGGAATTGAAGATTCATAAAGAAAATTATTCTGGTATACTTCAATAAATTAACAAATACATATTTTAATTATATAATTTATGTATAACAATTAAACAAAATACATGTTTTTTCTCTGTTTTGTAGCAACAACTCGTTCACCTAACCCCAAATTATTTGTTTTTTTTTTTGTCTAATAATTGTTATAAGTTATTTTATTATTTTTTGCAGTAATGCAAAACGAGAGTGGATTGAAAAATAATTAGTCTCGGCAAAAATATCTTTTATTTTTAAAAATAAAAGAGAACTTAACCAAAAAAAAAAGGAAATTGTTTCTATGTTAAACTCAAAACACACAGTTCAATCAACCTTATTATATTTTATTTGCATTTACAAGTTTCGTAGGAACTTATCAACATCAATTTGACTATGTATGATTTTCATTTGAATTAACATATTAACCAAATTTTGTCAATTAATATACAGTCAAACCACGAATTCTATAATTTATTAATATACATATTGTATGCTGCTGTGAGAATTGGTGTACAACAAAATCATGGATTCCAAATTAAAGATAATTTTATCAGTTGAAAACCGCATAGGGAACCAATTGAATAAAAAACAAGCAAATTAGTTAGCAGTTAATTTATGTGTCGTAAAAATTCGATAGAATTGGAAAAATTTGTTGTTGCAGCAAAAATAGCAGGGTTAATCTTGGATTGTTAATGTTTAATTGTTCAAGTGAACGAGGACGCTTATGAAAAATAAGAAATTGAAGGGAAGGGAGGATAAACGTATGTTCCACTATAGAAAACAATCAAATAATCGGATTAGAAAAAAAAGAAAAAAAGAAATAGACTAATTTTGAATCGTAGAAACGGGTTGAGCTATTAACTCTCTGAGTATTGTAATTTAGGGACCTGTGCTGAGGTCATTTTAGACTCACGCTGATATTTTACTAAATGCATATTAATAGTAGCTTAAACTCCTCACGGATTTCTATCAATTCAGGGACAATCGCGTTTTCTTTATAGCGTTCGAAGAAGAAATTTAATTCTGTTCTTCGTATTTTTTGTATATTCAACATTTTAATATTTAATATTTTATATTTTTTACTGTGTTAAATTATGATAAGGCTGTAAGAAGTATACCATCGTTTTATTTTTTACATTATACGTAATCAGTTTTGTTGCTGTGTATATATCATATGTTATCGCTTTCGAAATATTAGATTTGGTCAAAACAAAAGATTCCAGTATGTGGTATGAGAAATATTAATAAAGAAATCTTGGCCATCATCAAATGTCCAACCCACGCACCTCGCAACAACGCATATCACACATATACAATTTATATTTCGTATATGCATACATGCACGTAATATACATACACGTACGCACGCGCGCACGCACAGATTAGATATAACTATATTATAACTTTTACAATTATTACAATGTTATTTTTTTTTTCTAACTAACAAATCTGATGCGTCTAGGTATGATTAATACTCAGTTGTGTTTTCACAAATTTTCTAATTTATAGTTTCCACGAGTCAGATGGCTTTGCCGTTTTTAGTCCTTTGGTACTTACAATTTGTGTAAAATACTCGACTAGTTTATTAGGATGATTTTTTATTCTGTGAGTATATGCTTTTACGACAAATTTGAAGATTTGACGATTATTTGATTTTCAGAAATGAATTTGTTCAATTGGCCTCCAAGATCGTGCGAGTTGACACCTGTCGATTATTTCCTATGGGGCTACGTCAAGTTACTGGTTTATGCTGATAAACTAACAACAATTGACGCCTTGGAAGTCAGCATTTTTCGTATTATTCGTGACATATGGCTAGCAGTACTCGAAAAAGTGACGTAAAATTGGACTTCCAAAATGCATTTTGTTAAAAACCAGCCGCAGTGGCCATATGTTCGCAATCATTTTTCAAATGTTAATTGTCATGTGTTGATCTTCGAATTAAAAAATATAATAAGCGCTGAATTAAATGTTATTCTGAAAGATTTAGGAATTTTCTAGGTGAGAATTAACAGGCAGGACTTTTGCAAAGATTATCAAATCGTATAAAATTCAAGGAAACAACAGGTCTGACCACCTTGCCGACTAACCCACCACAAGAACAAAAAGCTTATGAAGAAGCTTTGGAAACTCTAAGCAATATGAACCTTGCACTTATCTTTAATGTATTTATTGAAAACAGGTATCATATCTTAAAAACCGAAAAAATGTTCGCCACCGTTAATGTGCTAAACAGCATTGATTCAATACAGTACAAATGAAAAACTTTAAGTAATGACGTTACAAATATTCTTAACACCATTAAAAAACACCGTTCCAATCTACATTAACTGCTAACCCTTGGCTGGGAAAGTCGGGACCCTTCATTGTTGTTTCTGATCTTATACATTCTCAAAGTAATTAAGCAATCCTGATTGTTCACAAATAGTAATCCCCGTACGAGCACTAATACAACTTGAATGTTTCTGCACACGGTGCGATATGTATCCTTTGAGTGAACAAAATGAATTATTTATGAATCGCCAATAACGATTATGCTGGACATGGAAGTTATGTATTCATAATATATTATGTTCATATTAATCAAAGAAAAAAATATATATCGAATTGAGGAAATAGTTTTTTCGTATTTTCCCGGTAGGTTGATTTTGATTTGATTGCATAACTCTGTATGTAACGTTAAATCAACGAATATCAAACTTTAATTACAAATTAATCACGAATTTTTTAAATTATTTAATTGATATTATATTTATCCCACAAATAAAATACTTTTCTGTAATAAAATGGATATCTGAAAATTTAATAATCCTAAAATAAGTTTCGCTGTATAAAAATTTGGAATTTTTGCATTACAAATAAATATCAATTATTGAAAATTTACAACGGGACTGGGAACAAATACTTCTGTGACTCGCTGTGTGTATAATATTTTATATAAATACATAAATAATATATTTGAAAAAATATAACACACATTTGTCTCGTATTTTCTTATATATTAATTTTATTATAATTATTTTGATATCATCTATTGTCTTCTTCTAGAACTAATGTAAGTTCTTTGCCTCCCACTATTTCACACATACCAATCAGGAGCGAGAATATTTTTGCATATAAACCACTGTTCAGGGCCGTCACACTGTTATGACTTGACGGTGATATTCCCTCGTGGTATTTATTTCTAATCAGTAATTATAATTCAAAATGGCGCGAACAAAGCAAACTGCTGCTAGAAAGATTGTCGGTGGAAAAGCTCCTCGAAAAGAAATAGCAATAAGAACGTTACGTAAGGCTGCTACTACTAAAATTACTGAAGTTAAGAGACCTCATCGTTTCAGACCTGGTACAGTTGCACTTCGAGAAATTCGTCGTTATCAGAAAACAACTGAATTGCTTATTCGTAAATTACCTTTCCAACGACTGATACGTGAAATCGCACAAGATTTTAAAGCAGATCTTCGTTTCCAAAGGTCCTCTATTTTCGCTCTTCAGGAATCTTGCGAAGCTTATCTTGTTGGATTGTTCGAAGATACCAATCTTTGTGCTATTCACGATAAACGTATAACCATCATGCCTAAGGATATGCAATTAGCACGACGCATTCGTGGAGATAAAAATTAAAATGGTCTAAATATTTGAACCTTTTGTGTTTTTTATATCCTTGACGGCCCTTTTTAGGGCTACCAATTTCTTCTATACTATAGGATCATTTCTCGTCGAATTTCTAATAATATTCATTTATTGTTAATACTATAAAATACAATATAAAACTACATTTTACGAATTTACCATGAGATCAATTTCTACGAGATTTTATTTACAACTAGTTACCTCTCTAACTCTATCTCTATTATAACGTATTATTTGATTATATATCAATAAGACCTTGTCTTATCCTCTTTCTTTAATTTGTAAATATTTGTAATCTAGAATTTATAGTTTCAAGAAACAAAATAAGATATCTATGGTAGCATATGATTGTATGTTACATTGTATTTTTTTTATTTCATTGTTAGTTTTCAGCTGCTCACACAGAATACGCTGTTGGTCAAAGCGCGGGGTTTTTTGAGCATCGTTATTTGTTACTGTAAATTCGGAACGAGATGATTTTTATAATTAGCGGTCAAAGTTCTTGTAATGTACATTTAATCTTTTCAGACTGTATATATAGAATGAAATAATTCAATTGGATCCCCTAAATATCCTTTTTATTTATTATGTTATATTTTATACTTGTTGAAGAGATACACGTGGCGCTTTCACCGTCATCCTGGCGCCATCTCGCAGTGGTCTATGCAATTGAATTCAGGACGGTATAGTAGAAAAGCTCAAGGAGCTTTTTGCTTGCTAGTTGCCTAAGCATGGTTACCATCCTTCACATATATATTGTAGTATTACATTTTTAAAAACGGATGAATTTTTTTTAATATGACTACCCATACTGATCGACATTTTTTATAAAAAATAAATAATTTATGCATTCATATCTCTCATTTATATAATGTTTCTATAACTTTTTCTTTAACATTTTTAAGCATCTCACAAATATACTAATATAATGCATATAATATATAAAATAGAAATAGTAACACGCGGATTATATACTTTTATAACATCGACAATTATTTTGTTAATCTTTTGAGTGATATTTATCTCTCCAGACTAAAGTTCAAGTAATATTTTTTAAATCATTGAAATTAGATTTGATTTATATTAAAATAGAAATTAAATAAATAAAAAACAAACAGTTTACAATAGTTAAATATAGTTTTTAATTAAAAGCGGACCTTTTTATGCATTTGTTATTATTTTGTTCAGAATAGAAAAATGTGAATGAACTTTAATATTATTAATGTACTATACCTATGTATTTATTTATCATACGTGTATCAAAATACCATACCCATACTTCGTGTAAAACTCGCCTTAAATGACTTGTTTTCTTTGAATACGACTCTCCTTTATCAGCTGTTCGATTCCTTACGCTGATTGGATGTTAATGCAGTAGTGGGGAAACAACGTCTACGACAGACACCAGACATATCTATACGTACTAATTGTTGCATAGCTTAAGGAGTTACATACTTATTACTTAACTTTCAGTTGTGCTCCATCCGTTGTGAAATTAACATCTATTGTTTTTTTATTGATTTTTGTTTTCTAAATTTTTTGGTTCAATAAACTTGCATTATTAGTTCACTGATAATAAAATTAATTCACTTTTAATTCTACTAAATGGATAATATTTCTGTAAGTAATATTAGTATTAACAAATAGAATTTTAATTACTTAGTTATATTAATTCACATTAATTTTTATTGAAAATATTAGGAAAGAAAGATTATGATACATGGATGGGTTGAAAAATTTTGAGCCTAACATAGAAAGAAATTTGTTTCGGTCTCAAACTCAAAATATTATTTAAAAAAAAAAAATACAAATTTTATTTTTTGTTGAGCCTCGGAACTTTTCAATTCACCCTCCTACTTATGCAGTATGATATAAAAATGTTTATCTACCTCATAATTAATTAATGAGGGGGGCATTAATTATCCCAATTTACCCCAATTTCCATTAGTATTATTTTTTTTCTAGAGGTCCTTTTCGTAATTATAATTATTCTTTTTACAGATATAAGACTCACGCACTTGTGGAACAAACTAGACCATATTTTTTGAATTACGACATTTTTTATCCCGTTCTACACGATTATGATTACTCCCAGAAAGAATAAAACGTAATTCAATACTTGCAATCTGCCGGAATCAAAACAAATTGTTGAATTTGTTCAAATATTTTAAAAATCTATTCTTACGTATTTTATGTATTACATGTCAACGATATTTTTTAAAACGATCAAATTAAACAATAGGATTTAGAAAGAAAATACATTAACATTATTATAAATAATGTGATTTAATCGATATTAACAATATCGAGGACAATTCGTTCAAATTATGTTACATCAAATGTGTAGTTAATATAAAAATAATCTTATGTACTTAATAAAGTACTGTGCGATTCTTTACTTAAACCTCTTACCCCCTCATCTTCTCCCCTCGCCGTTAACTCACTCCTTTCTCTTGCTGCCCGAATAATTTAGCTTTAAATTCTCTATCCAATTTACTACCATTAACCTAACGCAAAGGAGGAGCTTCTTATCTAGAACGCGCGAGTACCCATTAATGATAGATTTAAATTTGTCTTTTATTGTTAACGTTCTTCCACTTTGTACAATAATCGCACGCTTTGATCTAGAGTTAGAAAAGGTGTTCGATAAAGTTGTGGTTATAATATCGACCAATACGGTGTCGACTTTAATTAATAATTTATTTCAAGAAGAAATATTTTGTTCTTTTTGCATGTGTACCATAAAAGTTTATAATTTCAAAGAAATACTTTTCAATTTAGTTTGCTATAACAAGATAAATCATTAAAAGTAATTTTAAGATTGACACGAGACACTTGTTGTTACTGTCGTAATAATATAAACGAATGTTTGAATCTAAGTATTCTTAGGTAGAGGATTAAAAAATGTGTCGGTAGTTTACGTTATAGTTGGAAATGAATTTCAGGGAGTGTTAATAAATCTGGCTTTTCCTACAATCCAATTGCGTTTTGATAAACTGTCTGTTTAATTTACAGCGAATATCTCCGACAGGTAGAAATTGTTTTTTGCGAGAAGATTTTCGAGAAACACGAATAGAAAAATGATTTAAAACAATGAAGTATTTACAAATTAGCGTTATTTATTATTTGTATTTATATTTAATGTTACGTGTCTCAAATTACGAATGATATCAAATCAAATATCGACCAACGAACGAAAGTTACAAATAAAAATGCAACAACAGCAAAACAACGATATCCGCCATTTTTCTTAAGATCAGACAAAATATACAAATCGATCAGCAAGAAGGATAACCTACCTTATGACATGGAACATGAAAATCCATCCTCCTATAAGTAAATATATAGATACGTTGAAGTTTTCCAAGCTTTTATCATCGTTTACGATTCGCCGTCCGCGTTTGCGCGCGCGCGCGCGTTTCGAAGCTTGCGCGATGAAATATGAACCATGGCGATGGTATATACCGGTACTTCCCGCTAAAATTTCCTCACTCGCTCTTTCGAAGTTACGCGAAGAGGAGGTTCCACATACATTTATTCATTCGCTCACTCACTCATTCTCTTTTTCTCTCTCTCTCTTTCTTTCTTTTTTTTTCTATCTCTTTTTTTCTCTCTCTCTCTCTCTCTCTTTCTCTCTGCTCTCTTTCTTACTCTCGTTATTTCTTTCTTTCTTTCTTTTTCTTTATCGTCATATTCGAGTTTCGAGGATAGAGAGTCAAAGATCGGTGGTTTTACACCCATCGATGACGATTTTATCTTTCTCCACTTTCCAATCTCCTTTCTTCTTCTTCTTCTTTTTCCTTTTATTCGCAAGACAAAATTTCTTTTAATTTTCATACAAAATTGTATATTTTTCACATAGACAGTGTATATAATCGTTTAATTTATGTATATATATTATATTATATTATATTATATTTTTGTTTATATTTAAATTGTATATATATCTCTCGCGAAAGAATAATGATCGTCTTATCCTTATTTTTTTTCTTTTTTTTTTCTTTTTTTTTTTTTTTCTATGTATCTCTTGTGTCTCATGGGTTTCGTTATTTTAATTGTTTAGTAATAAAAATTGATATAGAGAGTAGAAGTAAAGGTGAAGAGAGAAGAGAGAGAGAGAGAGAGAAAGAGAAGTGAACATAGATAGGGTGTAGAGGGAAAGAATAAGAGAGATAGCAAATAACGGTTAGATAAATCAAATAAGTGCGGAAAAATCGGGTGTTATGGGTCTAACCGATACAAGTTTCGAGTTACTTTTGACTCTTTGGCGAGTCTCCATTGTGGGAGTCATTTGGAGCACCGAAGGGCCTCGCACCGATCATCCTGGCCTCTCCTCTTCCTCACAATTCGTCGATTTTCTTGTTCTTCTTCGCTAATCGACCCTGAAAAAGAAAGAAAGAGAGAGAGAGAGAGAGATAGAGAGAAAGTTCTTCAAAAGAAATAGTGAGTTTTGTCGCGAGGTACGTAAATATTTATATTCTGATTTTTATCTGTTATTTCTAATTTTATATTTTCGATGTGTTTTATCTCGAATAATATGGGGAAAAATATTTTGACGAGACAGTTCATAATTATGCTTTTTTTTAAAATTAGAATACGTTCGAATTATGAAGGAATCAAATAATGATTTCCACCAATGTTCATTTATCATCGTTTATTTCGTTTTGAAAACTCGTTCGAAAATATAATTCAATATTTTTACGTGAAAATGTGTTTATTATAGATGTATACGATATATTAGATCAAGTTTGATATAGAAGCTATTGTTAATGTTTCTTCATTTATATATTTAGTAAAAAGAGAGAAAGAGAGAGTGAGAGAGAGAAAAGAAGAATAAAAAAAATAAAAAGATGTCACCGTCTCTCTCATTATTCTCGGAGACTTTAATTTTTATACGAGAAAATCATGATAGAAAAAAAATATAGTAGATCGTAGGTGAGCACGATGCTTGACAAAGCGAGAATTGATTCCAAGTGATCTGTCTATAACACGAGAGGTTCATATCAGGATTTTGAGTATTTATGTATGTCGATGCTTTATGCTCGATGAGAGA